TTCCTATTGTGTTGTATTGTGTAAATTGTAAATCGACCTTTTTTATCACCTCAAAAATGACGAAAAGAGTCAAGTCAGTGTCATCTTGCCTGACACACTAGGCAAATTTGAAAAATAAACTGCTGGACAAATGAAGCGGAACAAAGGAATTTTTACTTTAACTTTGGATTCCAATATTACGCGAACTAAAAAACAAATTATTGAGCGGTTTCCGTAATTTAAAAGATAATTTCGTAAACCGCGCATTGATTCCTTTTTTAGTTCGCGTGATAGTGGAATTTGAAGTTAACTTAAATCTTCCCTTCTTCCGTTTCATTTGTCCAGCAGTTTATACAGTGTGTCCGTAAAGTAACGGATAAATTCATTATTTTGAAAAAGGTAGAATTTTTGAAAAATCGCTCAGACACGTCAATTTTGTTTTTTTATTTGAAATTTTTTGATATATTTTTCATTATACAGGGTGTCTCAAAAATAGCTCCGCTGCTGTCAACTTTGTTTTTTCAAATGGATCACCCTGTATATTATGACATTTATAGATTCTGCGGAAAATTTTTGACATATTTCATGTACAAAGTCATATACCTATCTTTAACTATTTCGGAAATATTGACAGTTGAAAATTGATTTTTTTGCAACTTTGAAAGGCTGTAAAACTTGAACGGTTAATTTTAGAGGAAAACCGATTTCACATTCCTATCTTAGATTTTCAAAAACTATCATTTGACACCAACTTTGAATTTACCCGGAGATTAAATTTAATCGGAATTTTTAATCACGCATTAAATTCAAAGTTGGTGTCAAATGATAGTTTATGGAAATCTAAGATAGGAATGTGCAATCGGTTTTCCTCTAACATTGACCATTTAGGTTTTACAGCCTGTCAAAGTTGCAAAAAAATAAATTTTCAACTGTCAATATTTCCGAAACAGTTAAAGATAGGTATATGACAAAATTTTCCGCAGAATCTATAAATGTCATAATATACAGGGTGATCCATTTGAAAAAACAAAGTTGACAGCAGTGGAGCTATTTTTAAAATATCCTGTATAATAAAAAAATTATCAAAAAATTTCAAACAAAAAAACAAAATTGACGTGTCTGAGCGATTTTTCAAAAATTCCACCGTTTTCAAAATAATGAATTGATCCGTTACTTTACGGACACACTGTATATTGTCTGTACCAGTTTTATGTTTGGCCAAGTATATTTATCTTATGGCGTTTCCGATTGGTAGAGCTAGTGCGGAACTAGTGCAGTTTTTTCTATTTCCGTCTTTTTCTTTTACAGGTCGATTGAAAGGATGCAAATACACTCAGTGCGCACTGAATCTACCAATCGGAAACGCCATTAGAAGTTTGATCTCACTATTCATCAACACCCTGTAGGAAGGTATATGATAAAATTATCTTAATTTGGTTAAAATTATACCTATTAATAAATAAATAATATACTTACACTCACCAGACTTAATTAAAACTTCTTGAGGAAAAAAAGATAATAAAAAAGACATTTTCTATCAAAAATTAACTTTTTATCAAAAAAATAGTACCTATATTACAATCCGAGACGGGAAATGCTTCATTGCTGATCGAGAGGTTGAAAAAAAAAAAAAAAAAAATTCGTGATAACAAAATAAATGAGGTCGGGAAATGAGGACGGAAAATATTTCCCTGCTCCATTTTCCGTCCGTGGACGGGAAATGAGGACGGAAAAAATTTCCCGTCCTCATTTCTTCTCCTGGGACAGGTAATGGGCCAGGAAAATGAAAACACAGAATTGTCACATTTTCAAATTTTTCAAAAGTCAGTAATAACAACATTTCATATATGGTTAAAAATAAACTCATATAAATACTTACCTGGGTAAAAACTCTAGGTATTAACCCAAAATATATTTACTTGGTATTTACCCATCACTAATGATATTCCTATTTGAAGAATCATTGTTGGTTACCACACCGTTTTGAAATCCTATTTCACGTTGAGTTTCGACAAAGTTAATGACAAAATTTATTGTAGGTCACCGGTGACCTACACTTGGCCAAACATAAAACTGGTTCTGTTTTTTTTTTAAAGATAAAAGTCAAAATGACATTATGTTGGCAATACAATGTAAAATTGTCAATGCTTTCAAATTTTTTATGCAGAAAAGGCTTGTGTTGCCAACATAGTTACTAAATTTTTGACTTGGGAATAGGGAACTTGCAAGTGAACTGAATTTTCCAAATTTGTTTTAAATCGATAGTTTATACTGCACAATATTTATATGACCAGTTTTTATTTAACTGATACCGCCCTTGTTACAAAAAAAGTAATAATAAATTTGAAATAAAAAGTTTCGCGCCAAAACAATGCTTTCATGATGGCTACCTTTTTGACGTCACGATTCTGTAAACAAACCTGTCAATAAAAAATTTGCAAATAAAAAAAAAATACAAAAGCAGTCCTTTACAATATTCTTCATCCATTGGGACAATTTTCACAAAAAGCAAACTCTAACACACTTGAATAACACAAAAATAGCACTGCATTAGCAGGAGTTCGTTTGCTGCCTATTTGTTGTTTACAAAATCTTAACGTCACAAGCGCTGTCATATTGAGATTTTGTGTTTTCGCGCCAAAGTTTTTGATTTGAATTTCAATTCTTTTTTCGTACAAGATATACCTAAATTAAAATGGAAAAAATAGTTATTTATGTATCAAGGGTACTAAGTAGATGATTATGCCCTGAGGGCGACAGTCTTACAAAGCCGAGGGCCTCTGGCCCGAGGGTTCGTAAGTCGCCCGAGGGTATATTATATCTATTAGTACCCGTGGTGCATACAAACTTTTATGTCATACCAGTTGGTTGCGAATAATAAATACCTAGGAAAAAAGTGTCACTACGCAAATTGTCATTTGTGTGCAAACATCATAATTTTTTGACAAAAATAATACGTTTATAAACGTAAATTTATAGGTTTGAAGAAAATTTATATTTTGTTAATAAAAAATAAGTTAATTGAAAACTGTTTTTTGCGTCTTTATGCCCGCGCGGGCCATAATGTGTACTTTATGCCCGCGCGGGCCATAATGTGTACTTTATGCCCGCACCCCAAGTAGCACTCCCATGTTGGGCCAATATTGGGACAATAACTACGATTTATTGGCCCAAGTCAGATTCTCTATGTTGGCCCAATAAAAGATGTGGACATTCTGCTATATTTGTCCAAGAACGTATGTCAATATATACCCAAAAACAAATACCAACGTTGGTACAATAACGTAACCAAATGTTGGCCCAAAAAGAAATAATCAATATCATAGCAAGAACTTTATGCAATATAGAGCCAATTGAAATTACCAATATTGGCCCGAAGACGTATGTAAATCTTGGCTTTATATTATATTCAATTAAGGTAACGGACCAATTATAAGGACCGACTAAGAAGTGTTTTCTCTCTGCCGGACCATCCGTGGACCCGTTTCGCTGTATCACAACTCATCAGCACGGTTAAGTCCCGCCAGGGTCCCGCAAAGAGAAAACAACCAATTTTTGGCTTCATCCCGGAACCAGGTTTAAAACAGGTAAAGTGAAGACAGAGTCTCCATCTATTTTTTGGTCAGCATACCAAATGCGCACATTGAATACCCTATATTGGACCAACATTTTCAATTCAGAAAATCTAACCTTGGTAAAAATTAGTATGTAAATATTGGCCCTTCATTGGGCTTTCCAAAAAATATCAATATTGTGAAAAAATTGAAAATAAATATTGGGAGTCCAAAGTTTTTGAAGTGAATTTAAATATCAATAAAAAACTGAATGCCAATATTGAATTAATATTATATTACAATATTGTTTCGATAATATAAAATTTAATATTTGGCCAATATCCAAATTACTGAAGAGTTAATTAATCTATGAAAACAATATTGGTGCAAGATTATTTTTAAATATTGTTTCCACATAGTTAAAACTAACGTTGCCCCAATATTGGTACTGTGTTGATTTAACAACAAAAATGAATAAATATTGGCCCAACTGAAAAACGATGTTTACCCCATATTATGTGCTACTTGGGACGGGCATAAAGTAATGAATTATGTAGATGGTATCTAAGGTATAAAAGCACAATAATATATTGGTATGACATAAAGAAAATTATGTAATAACTGATCACTAGAAGTATCTAAAAAAAAATAATTTGAGAAATATGAAAGTTCCCTATTATCTTTAAAAAAAAAACAGACTTTACAGGTAATATATATTTTTTAAATTTGTGTAGTGTGAGTCAGGCTTAACAACAAAAAGTCTGTCCTGAAAAACTTAGGTCAGACAGTTTTTGTCAATGTCATAGCTGAACAAAAGTAAATGCCAAATGTTTTTATGTTATGATTGGTTCAAAACAATGATTCAAAATGACACTGAATTGACTTTTTTTGGCATTTTAGAAGCGATAAAAAAGGTCGATTTACACAATACCGCGCAATAGGAAAAGGCGTACCAGTTTTATGATAGGCCAAGTGTACAGTCGGAATCATTGCAATTGGCACACACTCTTTAAAATCCCCCATATTAAGTCAAAATTCTAACCAATAAATCTATTTAGTGCAGCATTTTACTATTACTGTGTGTCAGATTTGACACATTACGAGGAATATTCACATAGTGTGTGCCAATTGCAAGGATTTCCACTGTACATGGCATTCTAACATGGCAGATAACGCCCGAGATAACATATTGATTGTTATCCGTTATCTAGGTCCTAGGATAAATAAACCTTATTGAAATACATTCCCAGGTTTCTTTTAATTTAATTTTTTTGCTTAGAATGGTCTAAAACTCGGTCTAAAATAAGTATATCTCTATCAAATTCCATATTCGAAAAACTTGACTCTCCATGGTAAGTTCCTCAATTCGACTAGAACCGAATTGGCTAATAAAAATATTATTGAGGACTCAAAAAAAAAAATCTTAAACAATAGGTAGGAACTGTACTGATGCAGATAAAATTTTACCTCCAATTCATTAAGCCTTTGTATCCTCGGAATGAACCTCAACTTATCCACATCTACAGCAAACGGAGGTTGCCATTTCTGTAATACAAAATAAATGATAGGTTGGTCAAATTTGAAAGTATCTACAATTTTCACAAGGTCCCTAATATAGAAACTTTTTATATATTATTATTAGAAGGTCTGAATAGCTAATAAGAGTTAGTTTGTGTTGGTAAAGTGATTATTTTGCTTACCGCTGGTGGTTTAATTTTACATATCCCGGTTTTTTCTGCAATGGGTTTAATTTTAGCAATGTAAGCTAAAGGGTCCAAAAATTCTTCCTCTGTAGGTTCAAAAACTGGAGCTTCAGGTGGGACTTTGAATTTAAATGCTTCATCACGTTTGCTATAATGGTCATTGCACTCACATACATTGGTACAGGTACTGGTACACCCTTCAACAGGCACCTCCATTTTATTTTTGAATTGATTCATTATCAGTTTCATCTAGGTACTTGAGTATATAAAGGCAATTTTGCTAAACACTAGTATTTGATTTCAGGTCACTGAACTTCACACTTCTCTGTAACTTTTACACCGTTTTGTGTGAGGGTACTGAGGCCACTGAGGGTACTTACTAAAACTACTAAAATAAAACCAGAACCCAGCTAGTTTGGGTTGCGCTCTAGCGATCTAGTCTATTTCAATCTATTTTGAAAATAAGTTCATGTTCCAATCACAGACCTTTTCATTCATTTGTAATTTCTATACTATGTATATGTATACATATGCAATTTGCACTAAAGTAATTTGGAAATTGCAGGCACAAACTACAAAACTAACACAAGTAAACAAAACAAATACTAGAATATTTTAGGTTAGTACTATAGTACCCTACTAGTAGACAGAGCCGGACCTTTCTATCCTTGCGTTCGGTATTTTGCTCGAAGAGCAGAGCGTGCAGAGCGGAGCCGTAACCACGTGACCAGCGAGCGAACAGAGCAGTTGAACCCTGTATAAAAGTGCCAGAAATTTTAATAAACGAACGCGAATGAGGATACACCGAGTACACTTTTTGAATAAACGAACGGTAAAGTCAAGCTCGGAGAACTCAGACCAAAATAACGAACGCACGGTATGAAACAAAAATAAAATACAAAAATAGAAATCTACTGCCATTACTGTCATGTGCTTTCATTTCGGTGTTCCAGATGTATGTCGAGTAGAGTTCGGGTAATCCTCCTAGAGCAAAAAGATGCCAGTTCCACGTGATCGAGCTGTTTTCTCGCGCTCACTTTTTTGACATTGGTTCAAAACAGGTTTAGAACAGTCAAGTATTTCCATTGACATTTAGAAAACAATGCCAAAAAAGTGTTCTACGCGAGAAAAGCTAGTTTTTTTACCGTGCGTCCGGTATTTTGATCTGAGTTCTCCGAGCTTGCTTAAATTGACTGTTCGTTTATTTAAAAAGTGTGTTCGGTGCAGGCTCATTCGCGTTCTTTTATTAAGACTTCGAGAGCTCTAAAACAGCGTTTAACTGCTCTGCGATTGCCAACATAATGACATTTTGACTTTTATCTTAAAAAAAAAAAAAACAGCAGACAGTTGATATCCTTTCAAGATTTGGAACACTAGAGCTACTCGCTCCGGTGTAAGCCACCCCGACTTGGAAGGAACAGATGCGCTGGCTTTCGTGCATTAAATGGTTTGAGTTCGGACATGAGTCTTGAGTACTTGCATTAAATGGTTTGAAAACGTGGATTGGATTGTATTACGAAACGGTTTAAACCAATTTTGACGTGACTTCATGGGTTTATCGCGAGAATGTACTGTTTCAAAACAGTTTTGAACCAGTTTCAAAAAAATGGACGCGAGAAAACGCCTCAGGTGCAACGCGCAACAAATACTTTTCGAAAGGAATAAGCGCGTAATGCCCCGGAGCTGTTCCGGAGCTCCTGCTAGGTGTGAAAGAAATACAACTAATAGGCAATTTTTCGCGGGGATATTGGATAATCAAGCATAATCTTATTAAATCAATCAAATTCTAGGCCTGCGAGTGACGTCACTGTTGGCAGCTTATAGTGATGACGTCACCCGCAGACCTCGATGGAATACTTGCGATTCAGGCTGTGCTATTGAGTTGATTTTTTCGTCGATTTTAAATGTAGAAAAGGTGATGTTCGATCTGTCCTCGCAAACGAAATTAGTGTTGTTTATCCATGAATATCCCAGAATTTGATGGTGGGAGAGTTAGGGACTTGATTATCCTCGCGAAAAATTGCCTAATATACCGGCAACTTGTATTTAGCCAACAAAGTTTATTTTCAAATTCGCCAAATGCAATCGTTTGGTGCCGGTGGTTCCTTGGTGGTCTTTGGTAACTCACTTTTATCCATTTTTTCCATTTTTAGCCATTTTCTATCCTTAGGATATAGGCCTCTTTCAAATTTGACCATTATCTTAGGTATTGCGCAACTCGGTACCAATTTAAGCCTGCAGCCTTCTTTATCTCATCGTACCATCTTTGTTGAGGTCTTCCAACACTTCTCCTCTCTTCCCAGTGATATACCTGCTCCAGTTTTGTGTAGGTATGTCTGGCCACATGTCCTGCCCATTGCCATTTTAAGGAACCAATTCTTTTTATTATGTCGGAGACTTTGGTTCTTTCCCTAATCCATATATTTATTTTGTGGACTCTCAAGAAAATTCCTAAAATTCGTCTTTCAATGGCTCTCTGAAGGGTGTTTCAAATTTGAGCCACATCATTGGGATCTCAGAAACGGTGAGATACAGGGTTGGTTAAATTGGGGCAAAGTTGCGTAATTTGATGCCTAACAAAATGCCGCTTTGATATTTAGGATATTCCGAATACTTACGGAGATATCCGGAAAAAAACGAAATTTCTCAAAATTGTTTTTATTTTTTCCTGACTTTATTTGAAGTGATATTTCAAAAAAATATCACTTCATCATAGCCACTTTTTTCCCCTACAGGATGCTAGCATGAAATTTAAAATCTGACGTTTCGTGTTTGGGCCACCAACATCAACTTCATTTTTTTAAATATGGACCCCTATTTTTTATTTTAGATTTTATAAGCTTCTGATGTCCCAAAACCAATGACCTATTGCACTTATTCGAAAAATTTATATTATTGGCACCATAAGAACTTAATGTGTTAGAGAGAAACAGCGAAGACAATTACTAAAAAATAAAAAAAAAATAGTTATTTATGATGTAAGTGTTAAATTTACATTTTTTTACGAAATTTCGTAAAAAGTTTGTAAAGTTACACTTTTTTTATGAAATTTCGTAAAAAAAGTGTAAATTTGGCTTTTCTTTGAAAAAAGTGTGAATTCACAAACTTTTTACGGAAATTCGTAAAAAAAAGTGTAAATACCTATGGCTTTTCTGTAAAAATAGTGTGAGTTCACAAACAAACTTTGGTGTGAGTTCACAAACTAAAGTTTGTTTGTGAACTCACACTTTTTTTACAGAAAAGCCAAATTCACACGTTTTTCTACGAAATTTCGTAAAAAAAATTTGGCTTTTCTGCTTTTCTGTGAAAAATCTGCGAATTCACTAACTTTTTGCGAAATTCCCACTAACTCACCCAAACTAACTCAAACGAACCCAAACTAACCCCAACTAACCCAAACTAACCCGAACTAACCCAAACTAACCAAAACTAACCCAACTAACCCAACTAACCCGAACTAACCCTTTTTTTTTTTTTTTTTTTTTTTTTTTTTTTTTGGTAGGGATTAGGAAATGCATTACGCACACCCGATGCATTATGGTCATGCGCATCGGGTAGTGTGGGACTCCGGACGTGTCTACCCACTAAAACCCTTCCCCTACCGTCCCCGGGACTGCCGAATAGCATTGCTTCAGGGATTCCTCCTTCTCAGTTGATTTCTCTATTGTTGCTTTCTGCCCTCTCCTCTCTCCTTCTCTCTTCGTCACACTTCTCCTCCATTATTTCTCTTAGCATCCTTGTGACTGCGCGCCAGCTTTCTTCGTCTTTCAGCTCTTACTCCCACTCCACACACCTCTGTGGCCGTGGCTCTATGTATATTGAACTTTGGGCAGTGGAAAATCGTGTGATCTGGCGTGTCCCTTTCTCCGCAATACCAACACTCATCGCTTACTCGCTTCTTGATATCTTTCAAGTATGTGCCGAAACTTCCGTGGCCGGTCATTGCTTGGGTTACGTGGTAGTCCAGCTCTCCGTGCCTTCTCTTGGCCCATTGTTCTACATTTTTAACAAATGTTTTGGTCCAACCACTGTACGTTTGCCACCTCTCTTGCCAGCTTTCCATAAGTGTTACTCTTGCTGTCTCTTTGTAGTCTCGTCCTCGTTGATAAATCTGCTGCCGCTCTTCAACCATTAGATCCATCGGTGGTAGTCCTGCCAGTGCCTCCACCGCCAATGTGTTTGCTGTCCTATATGCCGATGTTATGCCTATTGCCATCTTTCTGTTCACCCTTTTCAAGAGGTCGCGGTAATATCCGTATTTAAGCGCAATGCTCCATGCCGGTGCGGCGTACAATATTGCCGAAGTTACAGCACATGCTATTATCCTTCTCTTCCTTGATTTTGGGCCTCCAACTCTTGGCATAATTCTGAGCAGCAGGTTCATCATTTGTGTTCCTTTGTTCGCTATGTTTTTAATGTGTTGTGTCATACGCAGGTTTCTGTCCAAGGTAACCCCCAGATATCTCACCGAGTCCGACGTCATCACCTTCGTCCCTTGAATATTTATTTCCACTTCTTTTATTTTCCTTCTAGTGAGCAGTAGGATGGACTCGGTCTTTTCCTTTGCCACGGTTATGCTCATTCTTTCTAGGCATTCCACGACCCTTCTCACGGCGTATTCTGCTCTATCCACCAAGCTTGCAACGGTTTTGGCCTTGACCACTATGGCCAGGTCATCCGCGTACGCAATCAGATCGACTCCCTCTTCCATTTCCAGGCATAACACTTGATTGTACAGGACATTCCATAGAATTGGTCCCAATATGGACCCTTGGGGTACTCCGCACGTCATGTCAAATACTCTTTCGTTCTGGGCGATGATTTTTCTATTAGTAAAGTATGACTGCACTATTCTCACAAGGTAATCCGAGAAATTTCCTTTTTTTAGTGCTCTGACAATTTCCCTCCACGGTGCGGAGTTAAACGCGTTCTGCACGTCTAGCAGCACCATCACGCAGATCTCCCGATTCTTGTACGTTTTCAGCTTTGCGACTCTAGTAATATCCTGAATCTTCATGATAGCGTCCAGAGTAGATCTGCTGTGAAGCCGTACTGATGTTCATGGATTAGGTCTTTCTCTTGCATCTCCGCATGCAGTCTATTCTTGATTATCATCTCTAATATTTTCCCGACACAGTCTATGAGGCATAGCGGTCTATAGCTTGTTGTTGTTTGGTTTTCTTTTCTAGGCTTCTCAATAAGTACCAGATTGGCCATCTTCCATATTTCAGGGAATTCTCCTTTTTTTAAGCAATTGTTATAAACTTCTAAAAACTTATCTGTATTCCTCTTGACACACAGTATGGCGACTTCAGGCGTTATGCCGTCCGGTCCCGGAGCCTTCTTTTTTTAAATTTGACCTATGGCATCCTTTAGTTCTTCCTGTAGAATCGGGGGTATCTCGTTTTCGGCCACTTCTAGGGGCTCCCATGTTACCCTTTCGTGTGTGGGGAAAAGCCTTTCTATTTGCTCTGCAATCGTTTTGTCATCTGGTGGTGTCCTGTTTCTTAGTTTAAGTCTTTTCGTTACTATTTGATAGGCCTTTCCCCACACATCGTCATCCAGCTCGTCACACAATTGTCTCCATCTTTCTGCTTTACTCTTCATAATCAGGTGTTTTAATTCTTTCTTCTCTGCAGTGGCGGCTCGTGGTATAACATATTGGGGGTGCACATAATTTGTAATTCATAATAAATGCCGGTTGCGTTTGTTTTGCTGGCGCATTTGGCCACTAATTTTTTAAATTAATACTTTACAGGTAGATTGTTAAAATTTGAAGAATGATAAAATTAAATTTAAAGTTGTTTGATATTAATTTGGGAGTGCACGTGCACATGTGCTCTTATGGAGGAACCGCCACTGCTTCTCTGTCCTATATAATGCTTCCAGTTCTTCCTTTATCCTTTGGGTCGTCCTTTTATTTGCTCTAGCCCTTGTCAATTTCCTTCTCGCCCTCGTGCAGGAGGATCTTTTTTCGGCTATGTTCGCGTTCCACCAATATGTCGGCTTATTTTTTCCGGTGCTCGCCATTCTTTTGCGGAAAGACTCGTTGCAGAGTTCAGATAGGCGTTCTATTATCTTCTTAGGTGTTATTTCGTTGATGTCTATAAACATACCTTCGCATTTCGTGGCAAAGGAGGTTTGGCTCTCTGGTGTCATGTGCCCGAACTAACCCAAACTAACCAAAACTAACCCAACTAACCCGAACTAACCCAAACTAACCCAAACTAACTCAAACTAACTTAAACTAACCCAAACTAACCCAACCCAAACTAACTCGAACTAACCGGAACTAATTCAAACTAATCCAATACTAACCCAAACTAACTCAAACTAATCCAATACTAACCCAAACTAACTGAAATTAACCCAAACTAATTTGAACCAACCGAAACTAATCCAATACCAACCCAAACTAACTCCAACTAATCCAATACTAACCCAAACTAACTGAAACTAACCCAAATTAACCTGAACCAACCCAAACTAATCCAATACTAACCCAAATTAATTCAAACTTAACCAAACTACTTTTTACGAAGTTTCGTAAAAAAAATGTGAATTCACAAACTTTTTACGAAATTTCGTAAAAAAAGTGTAAATTTTTGCTTTTCTGTTTAAAAAGTTTAAATTCTACACGTGTATAAATTCAAAATTGGCGGCGCGGCGCCAGCGTTAGCACAATGGGGCCTGGGGGGATGGGGAGTAATGATTGTGTCATTGCAGGGGTACATGGTGTATTATTTTCCGGACGAATAATAATAAATTAATAATTCGGAAATTCCGGGTTAATAAAAAAAAATATATTCGACCGGAAGTTCCGTAACATTATCCACACTGTAACATCATAATGCAAATGTCATCTTGTCATCTGAATTAATTTTTTGAGTGCATCGTCGTTGATTGTTTTGAATTCCAAGACTGTGAAAGAAGTGATAAGTGCATCATCATAAGCAGCCAGTTTAAGAGTTGTTGCCACAGTGTGTGACCAGAAGGCAAAAAATAAATCGGTCAAAAGCGAATTGCAGCCTCAGACCAGAGAAATTTACATCAAAAACAACACAGAAACAGAAATTTTGGTTTTGTTGGAGATAAACAACCTAGAAATCGTGTCACTGTATGATGCTTCATACATGCTCGAGGGAATTATAAATAACTTGATCAAATATGACAGCCTTTTAACTGGAAAAATGGACATTTTCAAAAAGCAGATTGGAAAGTGTTTCAGTCAGTTCATGAGACAGATACGCCAGATCATCTATGAATAGATTATAGATTATTTTATTCATTAAGTGATTCTCACATAAATATATGAAAATAAAATGTATAAAATTAATTTTAGTTTTGAAGCACTGCCTTATTTTGAAATAATTGAAATGTCAAACCACTAATTTAAAACCGAGATTCAAACGGCCCGCCAAATATTAGTTCAATGACTACAACACCGCAATGGCAGCACCGTCGTAAATGTCACTTAGCGACTACAACAGGAGTGAGCGTTCTATATCAGAATATAAATCACTTTTCTATGAGTTGGCTGTTGAATGTTTTGCCTCCAAGAATATTTTTCTTATTTTTCAATAAAAACCCTAGTTAAAAGTTGTCAGTTGTCTGGATTATTATTTCTTTGCTGGCAATATCCATTGCGCTACATCGCCGAACAACAAACAGAACAACGAACCGAACGACGTTTGAAACACTAATCTGGACGGTGCTACGAACGTGTTTGTAAACCGGGCCGTAAATCCTGGATCCTGGTCGTTCGTCCTTGTTCTGATTGTTTTTCGGCGTAATGTTCAAGTCTGTACGAAGTTTGTCGTTGTTCGTCCTTTAAATTCCCCATGTTAAATAAAGAGAGAAATTCGGTTACTGAATAGTAGGCTTTTGAGAGAAATAAATATAAATACTCTTTAGCCTTAGCTCTAACTAAGCCATTTTTTACAGTGGAGTTTTCCTAGAATCACTGACAATAGGCTCCTTGCATCAAATTTTTTTATTGCTGATTTCGATAGTCCATGAAAAATAAGTCAACACGTGTTTATTCTTTTTCTTCTTAGTCAAAAATTGACAGAGATACAACACTATGAAATCTGCCTATGACGTCATTTGTGTAATAAATTAGTGACGTTGCACATGCTCAGTATATCTATATAATATACAAAACTTAATATTTGAATAACTTCCGGAATAATCATATTTGGGCGAAATAAAAAAAAAGTAACGATTTTTTTTTCGATTTCCTACAGTTTGCAATAAACAATAATCAATTTAATTTTCCATGCAAGTACCCTATTAGTTAGAGAGAATTTTGCCAGTTCGATATCTCGTAATTTTTTTTCCTTTAGCCTGAAAATGTCACTTCACTGCCTAGGTTTACTTTACAAACGCATAATTTTGCCACCAATTTAAAAAACAATACAAAAATTCTTAGTAGCAAGCAAACACTTTTCAAGTGCCATCCATTCACTAAAAAGAAATACCGTCAACTGGGGCTTCTTTGATAATTGTGGGGCAATTTTGATAACCCATGTCTCAACTATTATTTTCTTGTATTACTACGCAAGCGCAAATTTCTTGGCGCGTCTCAACAGGTCATATGTTTTTCAAGTGTCAGTCCTTTGCGAGAGTGTGGTTATGGTGGTGCGATTTGCCGCGGTCTCCGTACTACAAGGTAGGAAAGTTTACTTTTAACGTTTGTTTATTTTAAAAAGCTTCTGAAATTTCATATACACAGCTTCACTTTTTTATCATGGATCAATTTTTATTATTTTACATGGAAACCTATCAACCTTAGAACAGAAATATCATTTTTAGATTGTTCTCAAAATAATATTAGACCCTTCATTTATTAAAATCTTTCGTGGAACAACTTTGATCGCCTTTTATGGGGCAACTTTGATCATGATCAAAGTTGCCCCATATGGTAATAGTAATGCAGGTACCTACATACTTGAATATTATTTTTATCTTGCAAAAATATGGTCCGAAAATACCAGAGAACTTTGGGTGTCAGAAAATATAAAGACTATAAAGAGCAAGTTGTCGAAGAAGCTTTAGGAAAAGTTACAGAAGATAATTTTAGTATACGGAAAGCGTCAGTACAATATGGGATTCCATTTGGGACTTTGTACAACAGGTACAAAGGGCTCCACATTCGTTCAGTAGGACGTCCCACATTATTCACTCCACAAGAAGAACTTCAACTCGTCAAAAGCGCCGCTACCTGTGGCGACTGGGGATATCCCTTGTCCAAAGAAGACATGCAGTTCTTAGCCAAAAACTATCTTGACAAGCAGGGCAAGATAATACCTTATCTAACGGAAAATAAGCCTGGTATAGATTGGGTGGATGGCCTCTTAATTAGAAACAAATCTGACATTTGTAAAAGGGTCGCTGCAAACATTAAAAGAGCTAGAGCTACAGTCAGCGAAGCGTCGTTGAAAGAATATTTCAATAATTTGAAAGCAACAATAGAAAATGTCCCTCCATCGCATTTATTCAATTATAATAATAATAATAATAATAATAATAAATGCCTTTATTAATACAAGTTGCAATATACAAAAAGAGGTAATGGTGGCGAGATCTAGCTATAAGCTACTCTATCTAACCACCTTATTTTTTACAAATTGTCCGACATTATAATGAAATGAATTAAATTTCAAAGCATAATTTAAATACATAATTTCAATAAAGGAAAAAATAAAATAAAAAATAGTATACTTAACATAGAAACGAATCCTTTTTACAACTCAAATTTAGTAACAAATGTTACAATCTTAATTAGTGATGAACTTTCTCACATTTCTCCTGAAACTTATCACAGAAGGGCAGGACTTCACTAAGGGAGGCAGGGAATTATAGATTTTTACGGAATTATAAGTGAAAGATCGCTGATAAAGGGCAGAGCCATACTTTGGAACATTGAACAGATTACAATGACGGGTTGTTCTAGCGCTAATATCGGACCTACGGCTAAGTTTTTCATACAAGTATATGGGTAGTTGCGAGTCAATTATTTTGTAGGTTAAAGTAGCTGCTTGCATAAAATATCTTTGTTGCATATTGAGCCATTTAGATTTTCTATAAAGTGGAGTAACATGATCATATTTACGAAATCCATACGAAAATCTCAGACAAGCATTTTGTATTTTTTGGAGACTATCCCGATCCCTAACGAGCAAGGTAGGCCAGTACAGTACAATACAATATGTTAGGGAAGAAAGAATTAGCGTATCACACAATCTAAGCTTAATGTCAGTAGACAAATAATCCCGGTGCAAATACAAGGTCCGTAACTTTGCAAATGAAGTTTGTAGAAGATTTGCTACATGTGGTATGAAACGGAGTGGGGCGTCCATCAAGACTCCCAAATTTTTGACAGCTATTGGCAGGCACTAAACGTTGATCCTTAATTTTAATGACAAAATCATCGAGGTTTGTGAGAAAATTACGATGCTTACCAAATACGGTGATCTGAGACTTAGAACCATTAAGAATTAGACTATGGGATTCCGATATTTCATATATAGTATTAAGATCTTTATTAATCTGATTCTGCGCTGTTTTATAATCTGGAGAAAAGAAGGAGTAATAGAGTTGTAAATCATCAGCATACTGATGGGAATGACAAAATTTCAAGAAGCTAGAGAAGTCAGATGTGTACAACGAGAACAACAAGGGCCCTAGAATACTTCCCTGAGGCACCCCTTTTGATATTTGTCTTACTTGAGATTCACAGTTATTAACAATTACCATCTGTGTCCTACTAGATAAGTAGCTATTTAAAAAAGTTACAATAGAATCATCCAGACCAAAATATCTTAGCTTAATGCAAAGAACATTATGATTAAGTGTATCGAAAGCTTTGCTATAATCCAATAGTACGAGAGCAGTATTTTTACCTCGATCACAAGCTTCAAAAATATCATCAGTAACTTTGAGCAAAGCAATTGTAGTACTGTGCAAAGGTCGAAATCCAGATTGAGTGAATGGTATAATGCTCTTTTCAGTGAAGAAATTTTGAAACTGTTCATGTACTATTTTTTCAAGTACTTTGGAAATAGCGGGTAAAATACTTATGGGCCGAAACTGGCTAACGAGATTGGGCTTAGAAACTTTAGGTACAGGTATCACATTTGCTCGTTTCCAAACTGACGGAAAGGCGGCGGAGCTTGCAAGTGAAAAATTAATAATGTGTGCTATTTGCTCAGCCAAATGCGGAGTTATAAATTGCAGCATTTTGAGGTCAATGTTGTCACAACCCTTTGCATTGGATTTTAATTGCAAGATTATTTTATTAACATGATCAGAGGTAACTACTGGAAATTTTAATCTATTCCGAATATTTGGATGGACTTTGTCAACGTAATTTGTAGAAATGAAATTATTATTACCTGTATCTACATCGGGAATACTATCAATAAAGTGATTATTAAACGAATCAGGACTGCCAATATCACCCGGGAAGGCCCTTACAGAGCTGTTAATATTTAAATATTTTAAAGTTCGCCAAAATTCTTTGGGATTCGTCTTGAATTTGTGCTGCAGATACGCCTTCTTTTCATTCCTCAGTGCGGAAGTAGTAAAATTGCGTAAGCCCCTATATTCCTCCCAAGAAGCATCAGACTTATTTTTTTTATAACGTGTTCGCGCCTTATTCCGTAGTTTTATAAGTAATTTGATATTTTCAGTTAGCCATGGTGCAGGTGCTCTTGTAATACGGGCAGTTTTAATTGGAGCATGGAAATCAAATATTGCAGATATATTACTGCCAAATATGTCGACCTTGGAATCAATATTATCACATGAGTAGAAAGATTCCCAGTTCAAATGCAGCAGATCCGCAAGAAATAAACTGTAATTAAACCCCGAGTAATCTCTGTAAGAGCGAAATGAAACCGGGACCCTGTCCTTTGAGGCTCTCAATTTACATTCAACTAGGCAATGGTCAGAAATATCGTCCATGGGCATTACGATTGTATCATAAACAAGGTGTTCGCAAGATGTAATAAGAACGTCGATAAGCGATGATGAATTATTAGTAATACGAGTGGGAGAATTGACGGTCTGTACTAACCCATATTTTGATAAAAAATTCCTAAAGAAAATAGAACTGCATGTATCATTTTTTAAAAGATCGATATTTACATCACCTCCAAACAGAACACAATCGTACTGTGGCAACAAAGTTATCAAGACATTTTCCAATTCATTTATACAGCTATGTAAGTTTGAATTTGGCGGTCTGTAAAATGTTCCAAAACAAAGGCTCCTGCCCCTTACTTTGACACTCACCCAAAGATGCTCTAGAGGACTCGTTGAAGGAGGAGTTTCAAGTACCGTAAAATGGGGTTACTTGGGACAAATTCACTTCCATTTTTTCAATAATGTGGTAATTTATCAGAGTTTTTAGGAAGGCAAAGCAACAATTCCTGTGTATAAAATTTCTTTCATATGCATTTAACCTATAAAGCACCATAAATGGCTCCTACTGTAGGAACATTTTGTAAAAAAAAATAAAATATTTACTGTCCCAAGTTACCCCGCATTGGGGTTAAATGGGGCTGTACCGGTTTTACACCGAAAATGCATGTTAAACTACTCAGGGGTTACTTGGGACAGCAGAAAAATGAAAATAATACCCCAGCATACATGTTGAGTTGAAATTTTTTGTTCAGCGAATTATTTAGAGCGAAGAAAAATCTGAGTTAACATCAATTTATTAAAAATATTTATTTATTCATTATAAAAATGCAAAAATACTTAAATTAAAAATAAGGGAGTGAATCCTACGCCTACCGGTAGGTCCTTTGTTATCCAACAATCGTACGCCTACCAGTAGGTTCTTTTTCATCCACCGATTGTGCGCCTACTGGTAGGTCCTTTTTCGTCAATTGATCGAGCGCCTACTGGAAAGTGTGTTATTACTTTAGAATTTGTATGTCCTACCGGTCAGCTGTTGCTAAATACTTTAGTAAAATTTTGTTTTTTTGTAGAATTGACATCAAGAAATTCGTCCACTGAGTAATAAGCCTCTATAAGTACCTTAACATCTTTCTATCTTGGCTTTAAACTTGTTGATGTTTGGAATCTGCTCTACTTCATTCCAGACGGCAACCTATTCAAAATCCTTCTGGCACGCACCTTGAAGTTATCTTTAAATCTTCGATTGCTCGCTACGCTCGCCAAACCTCAAAGAGAATGTTCTCAGAAATGTAAATCCACCAAAAACGAGAAAAACCTTCCACCAGAAACATGAAAAACCTTTATTAAATAATATAACGGCTTGAAATTTAAAGTATTTTTAAGTCTCTGATTGCTCGCTCCGGTCGACAACTTGAAAGAAAAGATTCTTGGAAGCGTGAATAACCCAAAAACGTGGAACACCATTTTTCAACTTTCTTGTAAATCATTTTTGAGTCTCCGATTGCTCGCTATGCGCTCGCCAAATCTCAAAAAGAAGATCCTTGGATGCGTAAATGCACCAAAAACATGCAAAGTCTTTTTTTAAATATAGTACTTGACCTTGTATCTTATGCTCTAAAATAAAAGATTTTCTTTTCCTGATTTCAAAAATATACATATATTGTAGGTATATTGATGACATTTTGGTTGAGCTGAGCTGGAGCCCTTTTTGACATACTTTATCTTAGCTAATTGATTAGGTACAAGATTTGCATTTTTATAAAAATATCAAAAGCTCATGGAAACAATAAAGTTGTTAACGTTGTCCTGTAAATAAATTTGACGTGTCGAAATTTCATTGTTACAATTTTTATTATTATTTCCATATATTAGGTGCCTATTTTTAATTAGTTATAACGGTGTAACAATATATACAGTGCGTCCCGCTTAAGGACTAACCACCCTTCGAAAATTTTCATTTTTCAACCCATTCAATTAATATTTTTTTTGTCTTATATCTACTCGAATTTGGCTCAATAATTTTATTTCCGCAGCTATACTGGTGCATAGGGTGTCCTCATTTATTGGCTCAAATTTCAATAAGTATACTATTAGGGATTTTTTTTGTAGAAATCTGATCGCAGATTCTTGTTTAGAATGGTCTAAAAACCAAATGTGCTAATTTTTGTTTCAATAGGTAGGTACGATATAGGATGATCACAACAAATTTTCACAATTTAATGAATCAAATCGCAAAAATGTTATATTTTGAGATAAGTTTACTACAAGTTTTGGTTAAGGATGTTCTAATTTGAAAATTTTAACCCTGTAACATATTGAAACAAAAATTAGTACATTTGGGTTTTAGACCATTCTAAAAAAATCCCAAATGGTACTTTATGGCTATTTGCTCGGCTATCACTTAAGGGATATTTAATCTAAGTAAAGCTTTGAATGTGACTTTTGTTTCTATAAGAGTCATATTCAAAACTCCACTGAGATTAAATTTCCCTTAAGTAGTAGCGGTGCAAATGGCTGGTAGGCGCAGGATTCTTAAATTAATATGAACCTACCGGTAGGTTCAGGGTTTTTTTTACAAACAGTACCTACCGATAGGCGTTATATCATGTGGTAATTGGGGACCTTCCATAATGTTTTAGCGTTATACATACGGTAGGCTCTCAATGAATGAAACAAATAGGACCTACCGGTAGGCGCAGAATTCACTCCCTAAAAATAATGGTGGGTGTCAATCAGGACCAGGGAAATTATCTTTAAATCGTCTTTCTACAACCCCCTTAATATCCAGATATTGTTTCACAATGCGTCTTATTTCAAAGTGAGTTAAAGGAAATCCCCATTCAGCTGCTCTAATAAGTTCGTCTTCTTCCGCTTTTTTTCAGAACTGTAGGTCTTCCATATCTTCCATATTTATGATTTTTACATCATCTCTGTAAAGTTGATTTGGTTACCTTCCATTTGTCGGTCGCTGTTTTATAGGACTTTCCAGATTGTACGTCTATTATGGCACTTTTCATATTGTTTCCTTCGAAGGCATGATATTTATTAGAACCTAATTTGCGAATATATTTTCTTGGCATGTTGACCCCTGAAAACAAAACGGATTAAATAACATGGGGTAACTTGAGACACGGCCTAACTTGGGACAATGGTTGTCCAAAGTTACCCAAAATCAGGACTTTTTTTGAAAAAATATTTCAAAATCTAAAAAAATTGTCTAAAAGCGGGCAACGACATTGGCAGTATTTATAAAACATACAAAATTAACTAAAAAATGTAATTGGACTTACCTGCTTACCTTTTGACTCCCTCTTCCAGATAAAGTTTTCGACCATTTATTTTTGCCTTGCTTCTCACCACCACTTATGTTTTTTTTTTATACTTTTGAAATATCATTAAATTATAAAGAATTCATTAATTTAATCATCAACAGGTTGCTCTTCAACTAACCAAAACAATAAATTTAAGTTATGTTTATATTTGCGTTGTTGACGCTAGTAAAATTAGAACATCCGAAGTTGCGTCCCGAGTAACCCCGACGTCCCAAATAACCCCATTTTACGGTACCTTAAATTTAAAAATATCTTTAATATAAAATGCAACGCCGCCTCCACGGCCCTGACGGTCTTTTCTCACAATATTAAATCCATCCACAGTTAAACCCTCATCAGTCAATTCCCTGCCAAGCCATGTTTCAGAGAGTCCTAAAATGTCATGCCGCCCCTCAGCAAGAAATTCAGAGAATATGTCGAAAGTTTTACATAACGATCTTACATTAAAATGTGAGAAATTCAAAAATTCATTTGAGGCCATGATATACACAAACGAGATGCAATCCTGAGCTCCATTTATTTACACATTAGAAAATAAAAATTAACCAATAATCAATTAAATTCAGTTAGGTAGGTACCTACATATTTAAAAGGAAACATATAAATTACAACAAAAAAGACCCAGAAATATATTGTAAATAAAAAGTTAGCAATAAATTACAGGCAAACTGTGGCTGGTTTGTTGGTTTATAATTGAGCCCCTTCCATTAATAAACAAATTCAATTTACGTTTCTGTAGGCTATCCTAAACCTAGATTTTATTTATTGAAAATATATTAAAAACTTGAAATGATAAAAAAAAAAAAAATACTTTAGGTATAAATTCAACAATATTCAAATTTCAGAACCCACCAAAAAAATAGTTTTTAAATAGGTATATACATAGGTACTTATTTGTAGACAACTACAACTAGTATAGTTGCACCGTGACGATACAAAAGAGAAAATTTTTTTCCCCATAAAACGAAATGAAATTTATTAGAACCTGCACAAAATGCAAGTTCGACAAACAAAAAAGAAACAATTTATCAAAATGCTAAATGTTCGATGGGCATCAATTATGATGAAACAAATATGGCGGACGATTCTGGAAAAAAATTTAAAATTTATAGACGAGGTGTAAAGTACCCCGAACAATTATGATATGTGGATCGGCTTCAGGTGTACTACTTCCGCCATACATAATATACAGATCCACAAAGATGTGGAATACTTGGACGGAAAATGGTCCAAAAGGTAGTCCTTGTTGCGAAGATAGGTGTTGCAGTGGTGGTTCGCGATATAATAGAAAGAATCATGGCTGGATGGAGGCATCAAGTTTTACGGATTGGTTTATGACTTGTTTCTTACCACATGCAAAAAAACTAGATGGAAAAAAAGTTATCATTGAGGACAATTTGGCCGCACATTTCACGGACGATGTTCTTAAGTGTTGCGAAAAAAATAAGATCGCTTTTGTGTGTTTGGTTCCCCCCATTCCACTCACCTTACACAGGCTCTTGATGTCTGTTTTTTCAGGCCGATGAAAATAGCTTGGCGAAAAATATTAGGAGCTTGGAAAACAAAAAACCCAAAGATAGGTGGCTTGCCTAAGAAGAATTTCCCAGCCTTCTTCAACAAGCTTTATCTGCAATGGATAAGGTGGGTGAAGGCCATGCAATAAAAAGAATCCTAATTAGTGGATTTGCCGCGACTGGAGTTTTCCCGTATGATCCTCTTCAGAGGGTCTTATCAAAAATTCCGGGATATGTTCAAGAAAATGAAGGTGACATAGGCAATACACTAATTGATTTCTTGAAAGAGCAGAGGTTTGGTGGGGGTCCAAGTACCCCAACAAGGCAAAAAAAGAAAATGGTAAAAGTCGTTCCTGGCAAAAGCGTAACGCACGTTACAGCAGACTCAGAAATGTTCGAAGAAGGAACCATGCAAAATGAAACAGAGGATGAAGCTATTCACGATGAAGATGACGAACAAGGAAGAGAACAATTCAACGAAGAAGAAAAGGAAAACGAAAACTGTAACACTAAATCGACCGAAAATTTGGAAAGTACAGAATTGAAAATTGGATCGTTTGTCTTAGTTAAAATGAGAACTGTCAATACAAATGTCGATAAATACTTTGTAGGCAAAATAACAGAAATAATATTAGGTGACGATATTTTTAATGTCAGTTTTCTGAGATTTAAAAAAGGTAAAAAGAACAATTTTTTTGTTTTTCCTGACATTTTGGATGAAAGTTTCGTTCAGAGATCTGAAATTATAGGATCCCGAGAACCCTCAGAACATCATAGGGAGCAATATGTTTTCAAGGCGTCTGAAAGTTTTGTAGAGGTCTAAAGTGCTACTTTCTCATCACGTCCGTTTTCCTAGAAATTACAATTTTTCTGTTTTCGTGTCTGGAGCACAGACAGCAAATATTATTTGGTTTAAGTTTGTTTAGTAATTTGTTTTTCGTTTTGTTTCACTTTTGTTCAACCTTTAGATGGAAAATATATATTTTTTTCTGTTAGTTTTATGTTTTCGTAATAAAAAACAAACTTGATTAAAGCAAAAGCGTATTTATTTCTTAATTTCTGGTGTTTTTTTTTTTAATTTATTTTTTTTTATTTAGATTTTATTTGAATGGGGTTTCTTTGATCGTACGGGCAAACTAACGCATGATCAAAGTTGACCCAAATGAAAATATGTTATTTTATTAGTGAATTATCGAAATAAATTTAATTTTTTTTATTTAGATTTTATTTGAATGGGGTTTCGTTGATTTTACGGGCAAAACTGAAGCGTGATCAAAGTTACAAGAGCTTGGTGCTAGCCCCAAAACAATTCTAAAAGGTTAAGGCAAGGAGTGCTGCGTTGCCAAATTGACGTCAAAGTATATTATTTTGTTTGGGTTAGATTTTCCTAACATGTGCGGACAATGTTTATTGTTTAACGAGTGATGCAATCAGCAGTTTTTAAAATATGTAGGTAATGTTTTCAAGTTACAGAAAATGATTTTTGACGAGAATTATCTATTTTTCAATCGTCAGAAAGAAACTTTTTGCAGATGCTAGTTTGTTTGTGCAATGAAAGGGTGAGGCGTTTTTTCGCGTCCACTTTTTTGAAACTGGTTCAAAACTGTTTTCAAACAGTACATTCTCGCGATAAACCTATGACGTCACGTCAAATTTGGTTCAAACCGTTTCGAAATACAATCCAATCCACATTTTCAAACTATTTTCTCGCGCCGAGAAATTATGACGTCATTGTGACATTACATAAACCAGTTTTGAAAAATGTTTTGAAACATTTGAGACGCGAGAAAACGCCTCTGGATTTTGTTGGAATTTTCGACATTTTTATACAACAATCGTAAACAGGATTGCTCTTTCTAATAAGGCGTAGGTTCACCAATTCTTGAGTAGGCAGGGTCTGCGAGTGACGTCGCCACAGATGCTAAAAGTAATGACGTCACCCGCAGACATCGATCGAAGGCTTGCGATTCAAGCTGTGCTCGTTATTTGATTTTTTCGTCGATTTTAAATGTTTTAAATATAGAAAAGGTGATTGCAACAAGATTTAACGTTTAGGAATTTCACTCCAAAAGTTGAGGTATGCAGCTGACATAGCAGTGTAGAGACTTTTAGCTCAATAAGCAGTCCTACTAGGGATTGAAAACAGGATAATCTCTGCCATTTTCTAGAGATGATCCGTTTTTTTCCTACGAATGTGCGGAAAAAAAACTTTTGGCATGCACAGAGTAATCTTTCCGCACACCCTTGAGAAAAATTGTGTTCCTTAAGCCTAGTACTCATAACCGCGAAATTCGCTCTTTTTTGACATTGCTTCGATAATTTGACATTTGATTCACGCATAGAACGTCAAATTATCGAAGGAATGTTAAAAAAGAGCGAATTTCGCTGTTATGAGTACTAGGCTTAACACTTGCGAGAAAAGAGCCGCTTTCCAGTACGGGAGTGTGACACTCGGAGCTACCCGGAGCGTTGAGCTCCCGAGCTATACGTACGGACAAACGTCATGCGTCATGATACTGGAACGGTACAAATCTAGTGCGTGGCGCTCCCGGAGTGCTCTAGAGCGCGCCAATGTGCATACTGGGAAAGCGGCTATGGTATTTCCCGCACTTGGAAAAATAAATATTTTTATCCACAATCATCAAATAATGGCAGTTTTATCCATTCATATGAAGCGTCTAAAGTGATACTTTATCCACTAGTGGAATAAAATAACTTTATTCCACTAGTGGAATAAAATAACTTTATTCCACTAGTGGAATAATGAAATCAAGAAATACGAAATTTTTATTTTATTTATTGATATTGACATTAACATTTATATTAATAGATACTTCGACTGTTTGATTTGTCTCCTATAACTTCGTTAGTGTTGGTAAAAAGGTGATAATTTCCATGAGCTTGGGAACGCACGTTTATGGGTGTTTTGGCAGAATTACCAGGAACAGGAATATACCCTAATAACACAGTAACATCGCAGAAACATTCCAGAAACATCCATCAGGGATAATGAAGACGTTCCTGGGAGGTCCCTATTTTCCTGGGGACATCCCTGGGATGTTGCAGGCAACAGCCGTGTCATCATTTGCGATGTCCTATAAACATCTCTCAGGGATGTTTCTAAGATGACGCGGGATGTACCTAATACATCCGGGGCAGGTGTAAGAAACATCCTCTATATGTTTCTAGTATGACTTTAATACGTGAAAGAATTTTAGGATTATGGATTAAAAATTACCTAATTCAATAATTTTCAATTTTCGTTCTATTTTCTGGAAGTCAGATAGAACTTTTTCCAAAAAAAAAACAAAAATTGAAAATTATAAAATTAAGTAGGCACATCAGTTTCCAATAACATTTTTTATTGAAAAAATAAGGTACATGCATACTTATATTGATTATCTATCAACTAATAATAACCGACGGACAATTTTGCCTAAATAATGTAGTATTTATGCCCCGTCATGTCATCGAAAACCATAGTTTGGCAGTGGCAGCATGTTGTAGTGGGGGAGTTCGGCGTTTTCTTTTTTTTTTTGGTGCTCCAATTTCATAAAGGTACCATTAACTAACCAAAACAACCACAGAACCAAAATCCAAAGTTCTTGAAGTACAATTCAACTTGCACACCTAGAATGTAATCAACTATGAAAACAAAAAATAATTATTGGTTATTTTCTCTTACCTAATGAAGAATGAAGTTCGGGTTTTTAGGGGCTATTTATTAGAAAAGTTAGAAATTTCCTAACCGACGCCATATTGAAATTAAATAAACTAAACAATTGATAGTTATGCGACGTTATCTTTCAACAAATAATCTTTCTCACCAACTAATAAGCACTGGTAGGTCGCAGAGATCCTTTCGAACACAAAATGGCACAACTAGGTGTAGCGAAAAACCACAAATTGACAAATCCTCCACACAGCACGACGCCATTACGAAATAAAATTCCGCCCAACAACACAAGCGAAGCGCACAGGACGACCCGTTCGACTGATTCTGTCCGTCTGCGCTGGCTGCGGCGCCGACCCTACGTGGTGGCGTGCCCTCCTGTCCTGACCGGTACAAGTACAAATGCCTGAGCACGCGCCTGCGCCATACACTTCGGCTTCACGAATATTCACGATGTTTGAAAGTTGAAAAGAGAGAAGACTTTTATCAATACATATTTTATTTTATTCCAAGTTGTAAGTCGAATGAAAAATTAAATTTTGCTGTTGTTACAATACAAAATTAATATTAAGTACCTTATCTATATACATTACAGGTATATTATGGAATTTGAAATTAGTTTGTGTGTGTGATAGAGACATTTTCAGAAATCACACAAAATTGGCAAATTTAATACTGGGTCCTGCCGGTCTGAGGTCCTACCTAGTTTTGTAAAATAATGTTAGCCATTTTTCAGCTGTAATAAGTATCTAATTTTGAGAACGAAAAATCTTTTTGTCGATAGATATTTTCGAAAGGATGTTTCTAAAACATTTCAGGACAATCATCCTAGAGATGTTACATTACAAACATCGCAGCGATGTACCATTTATGTCGGAAACATAAGGACCTTAATGGTACATAAATAGGATGTTTCTGGGAGATCGGTGTTATTAGGGTAAGGTGTCTCATCTTGTAAGGGAAATTTTCCCCTTGAATTTTGTTTGCAATACTAAGCTTATTGGAAATGGAATCCTCGATATAACTTTCAGAAACAGAGGAGTTCTTCCATCCGCCATGTGTATGTACGTGTGATTGTGGATAAAACGTTGTATTACATTCGTGTTTTAGTTGCATTTTATCCACTTAAGAAAATTAAACGCTCGAACTTCGTTTTCGCGTTTAAACATTCTTGCGTGGATAAAATGCTTCCTAAAACACTTATACAATAAATAACTATTTTCCGAATTTGATATGAAAAAAAATTCCGCCCTGTAGAGGAGAACAAACGAGTTTCCAGTTCCACTCCAACCAAAAGGCAGCTGCCTGCACTAGTGCTTCAAAATAAAAAAAAATTGTAGTTTCCATTTTGTTCAATTTTCAATTCATTCAATCATAAGCAGTATAATCAAATTATGAAAGATTATTATATTCTGTTTCCACTCAAAACACAAAAGGCCGAGATAATAATAATAAACAACTGTGGTGGCGTGGCGTGGCGCTGATTCCAGTCCAAACATGAAAATGCCAAAAATGGCAACGTCGCATATAAATTGTTTCGGGGCTACCACCAAGCTCTTGTATCAAAGTTGCCCCAAATGAAGTAAAATTTTGATCAGGCCTATTCTATTTTTTTTTTTCCTATTTTCGTGTGAGTTTAGGAAATTTTTAATAAGTGTTTCGATTAGTCATATTGTTACGTCCAGATTTTGGTCGCAACGTCGTCCAAATACCAGACGAATAATCCGGGATTGGAAGGAATAAAAAGTCCAATTTAAAACAATAACAAATCGGGATTTATTAATAAATAATAGAAAAGAAAGTTTAACAAAAAAATTGAATAAATAAAATAAAACAAAATTAAATTTTGGAAATTAAAAATTGAAAGTTAAATCAGATTGCGATAAAATACAAATCGAAAGATTTTGGTTCGTACTTACATTATATGACTCAACATAATTTTGCACAACACTTTGTACTTTCTTGAAGTCTGCGAGGGTACTGTCCAAGCTTTAATTCGGTTTTTCGCCATCGAGTCTTTGATAAGTCAGCAAAATCAATTTTACCTTTGAAATAATTGAACTATCGTTTTGCGGACTCATCGAAGTTACAAAATTATAGTTATTGATTCATAACCGAAATTGTTTAATTTTACAAAAGGAAACGACTTGCAGTTTTGCGAAAAGTCAGTGAACTGAACTTTGAATAGAAAATTAAAATATTCAGTTTTTTTATGAAAAATATTTCCTTTTGTAAATTATAAAAACTTTTTAGCGTGACAATATAACTGCCCAACATTTCCTTTTTTTTTGTTTCCAAATATCTCAACTGGTTACCTAGCTACAAGCAAAAATTCAAATTTTTTTGATCAAAGAACCCCAGTTGACGGTACAATGTTCAATTACGGTTTTCTTAGGCAATCTGCTCATTTCCGAATTTTATATGTGTCTTTAGGATTCGAACGTAAAATAAAACACCCCCAGTTAGAACAAAACGCAACATATTTTATTTGTCCTACTTGACATAACTTAAATATTGAAAATTCTCTACAAAGGCAATTCGCTAGATGTCTGACCTGGAGTAGAATACTGAGGTGCAAATTTGGCGGCTACGAATCCTGCCAAGTTATCGTCATTAAACCCAGTTGGGAATTCACTAGTAACTTGAGCTGAAAACAAAACAAAATAGATTTGGTCGACTTTTTGCTAAATCTTACCTGTGGACTGATCACTGGATTCAGCTATTCCAGCAAACCGAGATCCAATACTTTTTTCTGTCATCTGAAGCCTTTTTGTGACAGCAGGAATTTTAGCTAGGGAAGCCGGTAACCTTGAAACATCAGATTTAATTTCGCCTAACAACTCTTCCAGCTGATTGAGCACGTTGTATAATACTGCATTCACCGGTTGGTTACCAACCAACGATTCTTTAATCAGGTGCTGATGAGACTCCGCTAAACATTCGACCTCAGCGAATCGCGCACTCAAAGTGAATCCTGGATGATCTAGATTCTGCGTGAAATTCAGCTGAGATGCGCGACGTAGTTGTTCTTCAATGACAAGGGCTTGTTCAAGAAGCTAGAGAATATAGAAAATATCTTATAGTGAAATTATAAATTAATATTCAATTAATACCTATACAGGGTGAAACAAGGAATAGGGTCAACTTATGAGTTATTTAATGTAGGTATAAGTTGAAAATTTGAAATTTGGGGAGCTTAAACGAAGCAACTTCTTGAGTTTTTTAGATGTAAATTGCGTTACCAGTCACTTCCAGTTCTAACTTTTGATTTTCAAATCGGACGGTATTTTTCAGGTTTTTTGGCGTCAGCAGATCATTTTACGCATTTCTTCTTGATAGGAATAATTACAATAACAATTTTGTTCACCGATGAATCCCGCTATTCCCGCTTCTGCAATAATGCAGTGTTCAACCGGCAGAATTCACGGTAGGTATTGATGTCATAATAATCGAAGAATTGTAAGGTCAGTTTCAGAAGATATTTGGTGTTAATGTTTGGGCGGGGATCTTGGGAAGTCGAATTTTTGGACCAATTTTATTTTAAGGAACTTCTCACAGGGGTTTGGTATTTGCGATTCCTTATGAATCAAAATGAGAATGATTCGGATAATCTTCCCCCAACATTTTTCGCAACTTATAGTAACGCCAAGTTATATAATGAGTATATAATAGTACCAAAGGTATATAAGAAGGTTTCCAAGTTTTATAATCTGCAACCTATGGTAACATAGATTTATAAAGTATTTATTAGTTTACTATAACTTACAGGTATATAATAAGGTGATGTAACTGTTTCTATCACCATTTTATAAAACTTCTAGTACCCGTTACTAAAGTATTTATAAGCAATTTTTATAAAGATTACCGTAACCTCATTTATATAACTAGAATACCCCTAGTTAAGTGTTATTCTCAATCACCTTTATAAAAACTGGAAACTAGTAGTGTTTGCAGTATATGTTATAAAACTTTTGGTAACGATAATTTCTTCTATAAAACCTGTAGTGAAACCAAACTACCTAATTTGACATAATATGAGAAAAAATCACCAGGTGCCTGTTGTTGCTTATTATTGTTATAAGAAATCTGTGCATTATGCTTTAAAAAAAATTAAGTTTAGCACATTATTTCGCCGAAAAATTTAATTTAATTTTCAAATTCAGTGCCCTCAGTATCTTATTCCACGAGGACACGGTGATATTATAGTTTCCAGAGTTTATGTTGTTACTAAAGTGATCCGCCATATTTTTCTACCCAAAATCATAATAATAAAAAAGACGCGTTGCAAACACACTAGGTTTAGCTGATTTTGATGCAAAATATACAATAATTGTTTAATACTGGCATATGCAAAACGGAAATGACATTAATTTCTTCTTAAATCTCATTTTTACTAATATTTATACAGGGTGTGCACTTAGTGCGATATCAGACGATATCTCCTTACAGGGTGATGCAAGAAAAAAAATTTAAATCACAAAGTTGTTTGATACTCTAATATGCATTAGTTAAAAATATTTTTGAATATACAGGGTGCTCCGTTAATGGGGTATGCGACAGAACTTTGTTATTTTAAATGGAACACCCTGTATGTGATTGCATATTTCGATTCTACGTAAAATTCTGAGCAGATTTCATGTGATATACCCTATACCTAAGTTCAACTGTTTTGGAAATATTGACAGTTGAAAATTGACTCTTTGCAACTTTAACAGGCTGTAAAATCTGAACGGTTAATTTTAGACGAAAACCGATTCCACATTCCTATCTTAGATTTTTATAAACTATCATTTGACACCAACTTTGAATTTAATCCATGATTAAAAATTCCAGTTAAATTTAATCTCCAGTTAAATTCAAAGTTGATGTCAAATGATAGTTTATAAAAATCTAAGACAGGAATGTGAAATCGGTTTTCGTCTAAATTTAACCGTTTAGGTTTAACAGCCTGTCAAAGTTGCGAAAAGTCAATTTTCAACTGTCAATATTTCCAAAACAGTTGAGCTTAGGTATGGGGTATATTACATGAAATCTGCTCAGAATTTTACGTAGAATCCAAATATGCAATCATATACAGTGTGTTCCATCTAAAATAACAAAGTTCTGTCGCATACTCCATAAACGGAACACCCTGTATATCCAGCAGTGGCGGCTCGTGGTATAACATATTGGGGGTGCACATAATTTGTAATTCATAATAAATGCCGAAAGGGAGATGCCCGCCGCAGGCGCCGCCGGAGGCGCGAAATTTTTTGGGGTGCCACGCCACGCCCAGAAGTGTTTATTTTAGGCCTTTAAAAAAATAATTTATTGTAAGTGATCGTATGAGTTATGTGATGTGTTTACCTACCAATAATTAAAAATATTGTTAAGGGATTTCATATTATCTACCCTACCAAACAACCAACTAAGCTCAATTTAATACTTTTTTCGGTCTATCAAATCGTGGAAATTGAAGGATCTTATATCAATAAACTAGAAATTAAGTAACAAAGTAACTTACCTCACTGAGTACATCGTCCTGATCTAACAATTGATTTTATACATAAATGTATTATAGTTTTCAATCTCACAGACACGTTTTGTATTGAAAGATAAGAGTAAGATGTGATTTTGAGTTTTGATGTTTTTTAATTTTTTCGGATAAATGTATCTACTAAATCTTTAACGCCGGATTTTGTCCATTCTGATGCTTCATCGCTTCCAAATAACAAACAGGGAAAACAGTAAAGACTATTACTAACATCACAACCGCACAACCAGTCAGTTTTTTCGTAAGTTTCCATTTTAAAAGTTCGTTTATAATCACGACTTTTGCATTTTGTTATGTTGGTGATTATTAAATTTGGCTTTGGGCGGCCGACACATTTGATTTGGATTTTTTCCTCCAAAGAAAGCGAAGAAAATTTAATTGTTTTTAACTATTGCACGCTAAGGCTATCGGGGTTCAGAAATCCCGCCATTCTACACACAGTTTTCAGTTAAATCGCGCTCGAAATCGAAATAAATATAAAACAAGAGCTTCCGATCCCAAAGTGCACTGACTACATGTGCACACCAGCCAGCTTAAAACATCGAACGTCGCTAGACCTTCGCGGGGAACAAAAAGTGCGGGGGGGCATAGTTCCACCAATTGGATTTAATATTGAAATGTGCAGTGAACGGGGCGTTCAGGCGACGCGGTGGACGCTGTGATTCCAGCGTTGCCGGTTGCGTTTGTTTTGCTGGCGCATTTGCGAAAGTTTTCATTTCTGTCTCGAGATTAATAGTCAATCTCGACGCTCCGCGTCTCGATTGACTATATAAATCTCTCGTAATGAAACATTTTCCTACTCGGTATGTAATATACTATTATTGCCCCTTCAGTTACTTAGTTAGATTTATTTTCAACAAGACGGTGCAGAGCCTCATCATACGAGGGATTTTGCACAACATTTACAGGAAATTTTTGGCGAACATGTTATACCTATCTACTCAATGGACCTGTTAGGTAGCCAGCAAAGTCTCCAGATTTATCTCCTATATGGACTTTTTTTTTGGGATACATTAAAGCTATTGTTTACGTCACTCCGGATTCGATTTCCAAGTCTTGGAACAGCGAATTTTAAATGCCTTGGAACGATAACTCCAGAGAAGTTAAATACGGTAGCAGAGAACAACCTTAGATGATCGAGAGAATGTCTTGCTCAAAATGGTGGCTATTTCGAGGAAATGTAAAAGGTTTACGCCAAATATTTTAGTCCACTCGTTTTTGGCAAATCGGCAAAAAATATGAAATTTTTAAAGTGAAACTTATTAGGCAGCGGTCTGATATTTGGGACGAGAATTATTGAGAGTGTATATAAAAATTTCACATTTTTGCCGATTTGTCAGAAACGAGTGGACTAAAATATGAAGGGTGTTATATCATTGTAATCGGAATTAAGATATCCTATTAAACGCATCTATGGTATACAGGGTGTTCCATTTATAAAAATATAATATAATGTAGGCCTATATGTCAGAAAATTGATAGTGTTTTGTTTTATGTGCAGCTTGACAAAAAACTTGGTAACGAACCCTACATTTTGTTTTTTTGTCTACCTTGATATTTTTAAAAACAAGAAAGTTACAGGTGATCAAAATGATATCAAAGATAAAAAAACACCCAGTACATGTTCCTTAAACCTATTGTGGAGATTTGAGTCGCAGCGCCGGAAGTTCCAGCCCTTAGGATTAAGAATGGCGTCAATGGCGCCTATTTCTAAAAATTGAGGTGAGTTCAGCAAAATATTTTTTTTAGTGCGATTTTTACGTTAAGGATGTCGTTTTCAGGGTTTCTGAGGGTCAAAATGACGAAAATGATATTCATAATTAATTTTTGTGTGAGGAACATGCTTCATTTCTCACATCTAGGCCGCTTTTATGATATCATTTACGTCCGACAAGATTCCAAAGTTTTCACCGATTTTCGCAGTTGAGGTGGAGTTTCAGGGTTTCTCTTGGGTGAGGATGACGAAAAAATAATGAATAAAGGTTTTTTTTTTATAAATTGTTAGATACCTATTTCGAATAAACAATATTTATAATTAAATTTTATGAATTATTGAAATGTTTTTCCAAGTAAAAAGTCAGAAGTCATTATTTGGCAATGCTTTATCATCGCTAAGATCTCCTGTTGCAGTCGAGCTATAAAAAAAATATCCAGTCAAGATTACTACAAAAAACACGTTGACAGTCATGTTCGTATAATAAGCATATAAAGGGTGTTTCTGAAAAGTGGGATCAAACTTATAGGATAAATAGTACTAGGTCCGCGAATGCTCAGTTTTCGAAATATATAGAGTGCTAAAGTTTCAAAAAAAGATCTTCTTTTTAGCTCAAAAATCCCTTTCCTGATTTTCACTATAAACTTGTCAGGTTTATTTAAAATAACAAAAGGTATAAATTTACCGTAATTATTCCAGGCATGCCCGTAATTGACCTTTTCAATTCAAAAACCTCTCTCTCTGGCATCAAACTGTCAGACGCCAAAAGAGTATGAAGACAATGGTTGACAGCCAT